TCTTAGTGGGGACCTATATGGTTTTGGACTATCTAATAATGTTTTTTTTTTCGAAAGGGTATTTTAAAGTAGAGAATTTAAAGATTTTTTATTTCTTTGAGAAAAAGTGTAGCAAAATGTATGTGATCTAGTTTTATTTGAATAAGTTAGGCTCTTACCTTCCCAAATGGGGAAACGAGCTGATGAAGGGCTGTAATTCTGTCACCTAACTTCTCCTTCCTAACCTGAAATTGAGAAGAGGAAATCGTATAAATATGTCGTACACGCGCACATGCTAAAAATTTGGTTATATTTTGTTGTTTCATTTGGCTATTTCCGATTCTCATTCTGAGATGGTAAAATGACGATGAAGGAAGAGAAAAAGAATAATCATGATTGGGAATTAGACAACCAAGAAAGACAACAATTACACCCCACATGTGTTTGTGTGTGTTTGTATGCCTTAAAGAGAGTTTGGGGTTGGAAGTTTCTGCCTGGTAGTTTGCATTTTACCTTGAATGTAGCCTGTGTTGTAGCAGAGGGTTGAACCCTAGCTTTCTTGAGTGCCCCACCAGCTGCAGTGCTATTGCACTTAGAGAAACAAAGAGGTTTTGATTACATTTAAATATTAAAAAATAGAAGGCACAAAAATTAGAATTTTTGTTTTGTTCGTTAGTTTATGTAAAAACATTGGTAAAGTATATGTGCTATATCACTTATTTTAATTCAGAGAAGATTAGAGAATATGGAAGTGATTAATCATGTTCTTGATCTGCAATATGTGGAAAGAATTAAAAGGAGAAACCATTGTTAAAAAGATAGGGAACGATCTCGCCTTTAGCTTATGTATACTTACTAAAAAATATTATTTTTTAAGTACTCTAAAATAAGAAAGCTTTTTTTTTCTGGCAAAATCTAAAGGTCTCGATTAGTAAAGTTTCATGAAAAGTGAGCTTGTGCATCTCATTGACCAAGAAGGAAAGGAAAAGGTAATGAACTGAGAAAATTGTGGATTCTCAATTAGTCAAGGAATCTCAATGGAGAGAGCTATGTATGAAATCTAATCTCTTCCTTACCTCAGAAGATCGATCTGGTGGTGGATGCCTTGCTTCTGTATTACTGTTAGAGAAATCTAACATGTTGCTACTGAAACTTGTGACACAGGATTTTGGAGACCAAGATGGCTTTGATGACTGAAGTTCTTCGTTTCCATGGCCATATACATAGCTGTTAACCGAGTTTTCTTGTTTAACATCAACAAGAGAAGCGTTTGAAGCCTGACCTAGTATTTGGTCCTCCCAGTTCTCCAACTTCTTGTTCTGAAACTGGCCCATCCCAACCTTACCTTGTTCATCCACCACCCCACTCCTATAACCAAAACAACACCAACAAGGCAAAAACAATTAGATTTTGATCCTTCCTGAACCAAACATAGATATTATATTTACCAAGTCTCTCCATGCAACCATGTTATTTGTTTCTTTTGTGTGTGTCTGTGAAGAAAGAAAGAGAAATAGTACATGAGTAGCTGGCTCCATGACTCAGGAAGCTCTTGATTCTCATTCCAAGAAGGAAAGGGAAGAGAAGAGGGGGCATAAGGGATGGGAAAGTTTGAAGGAGTGGACAAGAAAGGAGAAACTTGTGGAGGCATGCTATTGATATTGATGTTCCACCAGTTAGGGTTTCCAGTCATCATTTGTTGCACTGGTGAGCTCTGAAGAACACCTCTATTCATGGCTTCTTCCTTTGGAGATTTTTCAGCTGTTTGCAAAGAAAGATGGATTCTCTTTCTATGATCTTTCTCTTTCCCTTTCTTTCTTTGGTGTCCCAACCCAAACACTGCCTTTGTGGAATATTTGATAGGTCCTCCAAAGGTTGATTAAGTAGGGCGAACACCACGTTTGAAAGAAATTAATTTGAATAATTATGGAGTTTTGAGTTTGTCTTTGCTTATTTTCTTTTCTTCCCTTTCTTTATTGCTTTTCTTTTTTTCTTTTCTTCCTCACTTTCGTGTTATTTCTTTTCTTTCTTTGCTTTTCTATTTCCCCCGTTTGCTTTTGCTTTATCTTAAAGTGGGACAGAAAAAAGGTGGTAGGAATTCCCAAAATTATAAAATTGCAAAAAAATTGCTTAATTATCAATAAGAAAATCATTCTAAAGAACATTTTTTTCCCCTATCATACCTAGCAACGTGGCGCACTACCAAGCCCTCAAACCCTACAATCAGCAATTTAAAGAAGAACCTCTAAAATTTGGGAAATTTGACTTGTACAAGCTAAATACTCACACTTTATTGGTTTTTGACTCAAAAATCATTACTCATTCCATTAAGTGGTCATTAAATAAATGGATTTAGCATGTCTCACATTTTTTACATTAATTCAAAGGTTAAAGGTTAATTGGGTTTACTTATTATGATGATGATGAAGTTATTATATACATCTGTATCATCTATGACATGCTTTCAAATTTTAATTACTCGATCTTGTAAAGATATTTAAAAATTATTACCTTCTTAATTAAACATTTAGTATTATATATAACAAAAGTATTATATGTAAATATATAACTTGCATTATGAGCTAAACTGATATTATTGTGAAATGATTTCTTTTTACAAAGAATTATCAAAAATAAAAATAAAAAATACATTAATTATTTGCAAGTTAAATTTAATTTATAAATAAATTAAAAATAAATATCTAGAGGATTCATGTTATTTTATATATATATATATATATATATATATATTTTTAAATTAAATAGTTAATTAGTAAAAACTTAAGTAATTTAAATATTAATATTATTACTGATGTAATGTAATGTGTAGAAATAATTTAAAAGATTTATCAATTCAATTTTTTATTTATTTTTATGTTGAATATAATATAATAAAAATATTATGTTATTATATATATATATATATATATATCATATTCTAAAAGACTGACATTTTAAATAATATTAAAATAATTTAAATTTAATTAGTGAGTTAAATTTAATATGCTATTTTGTAATTCTAATTTTAAGGTACAAACTAGATTAAATAAAATTATTTAAATTTATTCAAAATTTTGTATATTAATATTAAAATGTTAATACTTTATATCTAATGACATACATATTTATGCTTCTTTGAAGAACTGATCTTTGTGTTAACATTTTAGTGTTCATGATTCTTTGAATTGTTTATATTAACATTTTCAAATATAATGTATGTGTTTTTTTAATGACATAAATTGATGTACTATTTTTAATGACCATGAAGCATTTTTGAACTTATATAACTCATTTCATATATTCTTAAAATAAATATTCATTTTGAAACTAAAACTGGAGAAAAAAATTCTCATTTAATATTCACAAAAACAAGTTTAATAATTGAAATAATATTATTGTGGCAAGATGAGGGTTCAATTGATGAAACCCTACTGCATATAGAGAAGGAACAAGTTTAACTGACATCACACATACCAACGAGGTCAATGTCTAGGGTATGTCATTTGTTTCTCCAAGAATTTAGTTGCCAGTTTCCATGAATTTAAAACTGTCACCTAAAACTTTTACACATTCTTTTTGGGTATCCCAATTAGAATCTCCTTCCCAAATTAGCTAAAGTAAAATCCATCAAACATGATTGTAACTTTATAAGCTGTTTTTCATATTTGTTATTAGTAACTTTAATCATTTTTTATTTCTTTAATTTTTAAAATCTTTTGATAATAACCATCTTTTGAAGTGTCATTAATTTTTGTTTGTTTGTATCATTACTAAGATAGCAATACAAGAAAAATGAGATATTACATGAAAATATTTATACTACAAATGAAGTCATATTTCATATTTATTAAATGTTTCTTAATTAATCTATATTCATAAATAACAATCTAAATATGAAACAAAAGGTAATATTTCTTTATTTTTATATAATTCTAAAATATTTTGCACATTTATCGTAATTAAAAGAAAACAATAAAAATATTTTTAAAGTGAAATTACTTCAAATGTGTTTTTTAGCTTTAAAAATGGGACAGATTTTTCTCTGTAAAACAATTGCTTTTTAGCATTTTATAATTAATTAATAAAGAATGTGATTTTAGTTAGGTGCTACTAAACTAAAGGAGTACAATTTTCTACAAACTAAAACAGAGAAAAACGTCTTATTTTTAAGAAAAAAAATGAATTTAATCTATAAAATGAATTATATTTATTACTTTAGTTATTATCTTCAAAAATGAACAAACAAAAATATAGTAATTAACTTCTAGTTAATACGGATAATAAAAAAATAATCCCTTTTATTATCTCTCATAACAAAATAACATTTTCGATATAAAAAACTAAGAATTGGTTATATAATTTATTCTAAATAAAAATAAAAAATTGGTATATAAATTGTTTAACTTTATTTTGATTTTGAATTTTAACTAACATGTTTAAAAGATTCAACTATTTATTAATTAGGCGAGACTATGATTTATTATAATAAATATGAAATTGGAATATTTTCGTTGTTAGATAATATATATATATATATATATATATATATATATATTTATTAAAATATCTTTTAAAAATAAAATCATGATAATTTACCTAGATCAATCATTTAAAAAAAATTATTCATGTTTTTGGATATTAAAAAAAATGAGATCGAAAGTGATGAGCATAGATTTTTCCTTGGTCAAGTTTTTGAATAACTGGTAGAATGGAATTATCAATATTAAAAATCAAACAAAAACTATCCACAAACACACATGCCTGCGACTTCTAGTTTCAATGAACATTCTTAATCAGAAGGAAGAAATGAATAATAAACAAAAACGAATGGTGGAATTATTCCTTTGGCATCACAAATAATATCGTTGTCGAGTTCAATATTAATTCGACAGACAAACATTCCCTCGTACCGCATTTTGATGTCACAAACAAACAAAAAAAGCCTTAAATTTCGAGCGAATTTACAGTGTCGTGAGCAGAGATTATGGGGAAGAATGTATAAATTATAGTTTTCTCCATTCATGTTCATGTTGAAGTTTAGAATTGAGATATTGAAGTGTGAAGAAGGAAGGAAGAAAAAAGGTGGCATAGCTGAGAATGGTGTCGTCTAGATAGACCTAAATGCCCATATCTTTGTCGGAAACTGTGTGTCTTTTGTGGCAGATGCATCCATATTTTCTTATATTATTTTCCTCCATGTTTTCCCGGGAAACAAACAATTTCAACAACGCTTCCTTCTTGTCCTCACCTTCTTTGTCATATATTCCTCTCTTTCAAGTTTAATTTTTTTTTTCTTTTAAATGGTTTGAAAATCAAACCGACTGACATATTAACCGATTGAACTAAGAATTAAATTAAAAATTACTTTCAAATAATCAGATTTTAATTGAATCAAAATAAAATAAAAAATAAGACAAAATTAATAAAATCGGTTAAATTTTTGAATCCAACAAATTTGAGTAAAAAAAATATATTTAAGATAAAAATTTTAACATAATTTTTTTATAAAATATATAATATATTTTAATTCTTTTATCTCATATTAAATAGTCACTTTAAATAATAATTATTTTATTATAATTTTATTTTATTTTAATAATTATCTAATTTTTTATTTTTAATATATTTTATATTTATAACTTTTACAGTAATTCACATAAATCATGACATTAATTTTTATTTTTTTATAGAAAATATTATTATTAATAAATTTATTATATATTTATTATATTATTAAAATATTATTTTATTAAATTTGGTTTACCAATTAAATTTTTAAATCCTGAATTATATCTTCATTGGTTCAGTGATCATCCAATTTTAAAAATATTTCTTCTTTTCGTTTTTTTTTTTAATTTCAACTTGCAATTATATAATCAATTTGTTAACATTCGTTTATCATCTGATTTTTTTTGTACGAAAATTCTCCAGCTTAATTTAAGAACTCTTGTGTTTACATGTTTTCTATTAATTAGTTTCACAAAATATTGAAAAAATTAATTATACATAATTAGTCAAGATTCTAGTTTATTTGGATAAAAAAATCATAATTACTTATATTCCTTCATTAATTAATAGAATAAAATATATAATTCATGATTTGAAACATCATCACTTCACTATTATTATTATTATTATTATTATTATTATTACTATTATTATTATTATTATATAAAATATTTCTATAAGATATTATCTTATGTAAACTAAATATATGATAAGATTGAATCAATCCCACTTTTATTATATCATATTCTTATCTTTCTCGTATCCAATCTTAATTATTATATGTTAATCACCAATAAATTCTATGAGAAAAAAACAAAATAAAGTAATTTTTATATATAAAAATCAACTTATATATTTAACCCTTTCTAGAAGCTTTTTTAATTCAACTTGTTAGAAAAATAAATTTTATAAAGTTCAATGCATTTTACACTTCTATTTTTTTTCAACGTATGGATGGAATTTTTTTTTTCACTCAAAACCTAAAATTTTAATTTTAATTAAGGGTTTGTTTATTTGCAAAGAAAGTAGTGAAAAATAACTGATTCAAAATGAAAGAAAGTATTATCCTAAGAGAGGCCACTTTTTACTCTGATTTACATATTTTTTTTATATGAGTAATAAAAAAAAATCTTAATTTGAAAGTATTAATTTCAAAAAAAATTTATTCATAAAAATAATTAATAATTACAAACCTAAATTTATAATTATACAATTACTTACTTTTTTTAATTTATTATTTAAATAAACACTTTTTTATTTTATTTTCTTTTCAAAGGAATAAGTATAATTTATATTTTATTTTTATTTTAGTTTTTTCCTTACATTTTCGTTCTCACTAGTCAACAAACTCTGAATGTGTAAAAATCATATGTATCCACTTACAGCATAATAAATGTTCATAATAGAATTAAAATATTACTCACAATATTGACTATGTCACATAAACCTTATCACCACAACGTGCTAAAATCTTACATTAAATAGAAATAGACAAGATACATAATATATAAAAAGAAAGATTCATATATATATATATATATATATATATATATATATATATATATATATATATATATATATATATATAGTATTTTAAGTTTTAAATTAAAAATATATCATATTTTATAATATAAATGACTAATTTTATTTTTTTTAATGTTAAGTTTTCTTTCATTGAAGATCATTGTAACATTAATGAAACTCAATTTATAAGTTAAAGTAGTATTAAAGAAACATGAATCGTTCAAATAAGAGTGAATATTTTTTATTGAAAAGAGTACCATCTGAATCAAAGACTATGTATTTATATCACTTTTTCAAAAATGATTTAAATAAGAATGTATTTATACGAAGACACTAACAACATGTAGTTTGGTAGTACTCTAGAATGATGAATATAAGAGAGTACCCTTTTTTCTCCCAAAAAAATTGCACTTAAAAAGAAAACACTTTGCTCATTGGATTCCTCTAATCACATGGATTAGAATGGAGTTAAAAATGAATCTCATTATTACTCGGCTTGATGATCCCAAGATGGCTTATTTAACAACAAACACAAGCTTGGCTTTTTATGCCACAAAAGCTAGACATAGCCCTCTTCCTACTTTCCTTTCATAATTCAAAGGACAACCCTAGCATCATTCATCCCCTTTCTCATGCCCAAAAAACAAAATAAATGCATCAACTTGGTTATCTTCTTAGGTAAGAAACAAAACAAAAGCACGCCTTGTTCCTCTTTTCACTTCATTTTTCTTGTGATTTCCTAATATGACTTCCACTCACTACTCATCCACATCCACCTACTTTAACTTTCAATGCCTCAAATTTTGAACCTCTCCTATTCTGTTGTTTCAGCTATTGTTAATTGATTAGGTTTAACATATGAACATATTATATAAGCGTGGCTTGTATATACATTAAACTCGGGTAGAAATCATTATCTATAAATTAATCAAGAGTTTTAAAAGTTTATGGTGTTTTGTTTTATCCATTTAATTATGCCTTTATGTGCATGCACACTTTTTCTTTTCATTTCCTAACAAAGTACCTAGGCCAGTTGCATTGATGATTAAAAGTTGACCAGCTTAAAAAGTTTAGCTTTTCTTTTACTTTGAATTCAGTTTTTTGCACGCATGTTTGTTTTGTAATTTACACGTATTTCCTTACTTAGCTAATTGATTATGACAAAAAGGATAAGTCATTATTTTAAATGGGACATCGAAGAATCAACCTTTATCTTTTTTACTAACTTTGGGATAGTGTTAGATGGATTGAAAATAGTGTCATCCTTGATACCTTAGAAAATAAGTGATTATATAATTTTTTTTGTATGTAATAATGATTTGATATTGAAATATTATAAAATTTTCTTGCACTTATCTTCTTTATTTTTTTAAATGTGAGGAGATTAATGTTTACATGCTTGGAGGTTATAAACCTATGTTCTCTAATATGTTTATTGTCATAAAAGTTACATTGGTTTTAATGTGATCTATCTCTATTAATTAATGTATCCAATCTCTGTTTTTAAAAAAATTATATGTTACGTTCTAACATTTTACTAAATTCCATTTCTTCAATCATATTTTCGCAGAGAAGGAAGTAATTACTCTTTATAATAATTATTTAGATTTGCTTGATTTTATTTTATTTATAGTTTTTACAAGCAATTTTAAGATTAATTTTGAAAATTTATTTTAAAAAATAAATCTTATAACTTTATATAAAAATTAATAAAAAAATGGATGACTATGAAAATTAATGATAAATTTTGAAAAACGATTTTGATAACTTTAAAAGTGAATAATGTAATGTAATTATCAATAAAAATGTTAATATCAACTAATAAAAAATAAAAATAAATTTTATTAATTTTTTTAAACTAAAAAAATGTTTGAAAATTATTTTAACAAAAAATAGTTATCAAACCAGTTTTTTAATTAAAAAAAACTAAAAAATTAAAAATTATTTTTAAAATCAGTAAATTTTTTTATTCTAATCATATATATATATATATATATATATATATATATTTAATTAAATGTTTTTATAATCATTAAATATAATCCAATTTTCTGCATAAATAAAATATTTATAAGCATATATCATCATTAATGGATTGATTGATGTTCCAAGAATACGTAAAGGAATCAGAAAAGGTATTAAATTTAAGGTGAAATCAAATGAAATGATACTGAAAATTGTGATGGTGTGAAAAAGATTATGCTCATAATACAATGCTTAATATGTTTTTATTATTACGTAAAACATTTACTTAGGAATTTTTGATAGGGGAAATATCAACGTCTACTTTATTTTTGTGGACTTCAAGTGATAGGAAGAAAGATAAGAATCAGAAGAAATTAGAAGGAAGAGATAGAAAAAGAAGTGATAGATACAATAAATAACATAAAGGAATACAAAATATAATAAAATATACGAAACACCATAACAGTTCCTATCTCCATCAGAGGACCATAATCGAAAAGAAATAAGTCACAGGTGGTTTAGTAAAATGAAACTTTTGCAAACATGAACATGAACATGAACATGAACTTTGACAAACTTAGTATTATTTCTTGTTGGATATGCGTGCACGCATTTCAAGGCTTCAATCAGTCTTATCCAGATATGGTTTTTGTTTTTATTTTATGTACCAATCATTCTTAATGTTCACCAATTTGCTAGGTTACAATTTCATTCAAATCAATTTGCATAATTTTGTTTCACTACCAAATAAATACACAGATATTAAGAGCAGTGATTTGTCTTCATCGATCAAAGATGATAAATCTTTTACATAAAGGTCGGTTCAAGCATAAGCACCTCAAAATACCTTTTTCAATGCTCATTATTCATTTTTTTCTCAATAAATATCATAAACTTACAAATTTTTTCGAATTAGTAAGATTTATTTACAAATTCATTTCATTTAAAAACAAAAATATATAGCTATCATCATAATATGTTATAATTACTATTATTATGACTATTATTTAGTAAAAATATATATTTTTTCTTTTATTCAATGAATATTATGAATTATTTATGAGTACTTAGTATTTAAAAGATAATTTATATTATTCTTATAATTTATATAGAAAAAAATTGAATGTGGTAACAATTCATATAATTGATAATTAATTTTTGGATGGTGGTAACAATTCATATAATAATATATTTTCCTTTTGATGTGAGGTTAGAAAAAACAGGTGACAAAATCAGATTTCAAATATTTTAATCATCACATTTAAAATTATATACTTTCCGGCCTAAAAAGAAAAAGTAGCATTAGTTTCCAAATTATATATAAGAAGACAAAAATTAAAAGATATTGTATAAAACATGGATGATATCATAGGTGAAGAAGATAGAGAATTATATACAAAGAAAAATATTAGAGACCAAAATTTCCCACCGAAAACGATGGTTAGGTTTTGTTTATAATTCACTAAGATATTTTCCTTTTTTTATTGTCTGCCAACATTATATTCCCAGACTGTTTTTTTTAACTAGAAAAGTAAAATATAGTAATCGAATTAAATAGTTATATTAACTTATAATTTTCATTTTGATTTTTTACATTATCCGTAAGTATTATTGAAGAAGCAAGAAGAGAGTATTTTAGGTTTGAATCAAATGCTCTTTTTCTATTATTTTTATTTTTGATGAGAGTGATACAAAAACACTGTGACCTAACAAATACTGTTGATAGTCACTACACACGATTCAAAATCCCTCTCTTTCAGGCATAAAGCATAAATTTTCTCTCATACTCTCTTATTTTTTCTCAAGACTCACATCACTATCTTTGTGTTTTTCAACAAAATCCAACACTCTCACACCTTCTCATTCATTCCTCACAAATATATATATATATATATATATATATATATATATATATATATATATACATTCATCAACAGGCACACCAGAATTCTTCATTCACAAAACACCTTTCACTTTCATTTCTTTCACACACACAATATATAATAATAACTCATTCATTCTAACAAGCTTGCATGCATATAATTTCCTCAACTTTCACCCACACACAAACCCACTTTATAGTGGGTATCAGAACCCCATTTCCAAAAAAAGCACAATAATTAAAAGGATTAGATATATATACTATAATAAAATTTATCACATTTCTCATTTCGAAAGACTTTTTTTTTTTATGTAAGATTTCTCTTTGTATTTCCTAATTAACAATATTAAGATTATTGAAAAACCTCTTTTGAGATGAGGGATGTGATAAAGAAAATTCCTATTTAAAGATAAAAGATATGATGAAATATTTATTAGAGATGAAAAGTATTTGGAAAAGGTTATTTGATGTCAATATTAAAACTAGTGAAATAGTAGAATGAATCATCTAGAAAAAGAAATACATAATATTTTATAAAATAATATCAATTATAACTATATTAATAATTAAAAAGTATTTTTTCTATTTATCAAAAGTTAATAATTCGGATAATGAGAGATATCTATCCGGATATATAATTTAACATATTAATTTGAATATCTTAAATATTTATATAGTGATCGTTTTTAAGGATTTTACTTAAATATGTATAAATATATAGATAGATAAGCATGATATTCATTTAATTATCAAACCATTTTATAAAATTGATTTTGATACTTCTCCATGTTAATAATATGAGAAATTTAAAAGAATATAATCAATGCTTAATAATCCAATTTTATCTATTGTTATAAATAAATAATATTAGAAGAAGGTGATTATTTTGAGTGAGAAAAAGTTAAATGAGAGTATGGGAGGGCTTGTGGTCCCTAAAGAGGGACTATTGTCCGTAGAAGAGTTGTGTATCCAAACACTTCATTCAAATTTTTCCTCTCTCTACTTCCTATTACAAGAGACGTGGGCCCCACACCTGCCCCACTTGCCCTCACTTCCTATAAAGCAAAAAAAAAAAACCCTTACCGACCCCTCTCTCCATAAAATCAACAGTGGACCCACTTTATAATTATTTCACACCCTTCTTCCATTTTTCTCACTCATAAAAATAAATAAACTTTTATTTTATATATGTCATTATTATGTCATTCTTACCTCATATATCACACCACATTTCTTTATCATTTTTTTTTTGTATATTTTGTTTTTTGTTAAATTATTATCATTTTGAAATATTTGTCATCCATCTTGGTGGCATCATTGACTAATTTAAAGACTTTTCAAAAAAAAAAATGTAATTTTAAGTGAAGTAATCTCACATATATAGTAAACTTAATTTTCAAAACTTTTTAAAAACTAAAACTCTATATTATATGCTAGCAACTAGTGTGTTTAGGTTCTTCCACAAAAAAAACTAAATTACTAGGATAAAAACATTGCTGATTAAAACCCTAGATGTTGAATTTGTAGTGTAAAATGAGATGATGATAGTGTTTTGGAGTAAGTTGCTTGGTGCATACACATCTTAATTGGGAAGTAATAAGAGAAGGTGAAATAGTGTATGCTCCCCACTTGAACATAGAAAAGAAGATGGAATGTTGAGTGTGGTATTGTTTATCTTAAACAAACACAACCCTAATCATAAAATCAATCATTTCTTGGTGTCACGGATTTTTGTTTTGACTTGTTCCAACAATATTACGGTTGTCACGGGTACTCGAGGACTCTTGTTGACTTCAAAAGTGCTTCTCTTTCAAAATTCCCTTTTCTAGTCTAACGCTACTTATACCCTCCTATTAATTAATTTTAGTGTCTCCACAAAAGCACCTTTTTTTTTTTAATGAACAATATAGTGCATTTAAGAATCAGATGTTTACAATAACTGGGTTCTTTATCGAACTATATATATATATATATATATATATATATATATATATATATATATTCATAATTATTAATTTATATTATTATATACTAACAAACATATATTATCAATATATAAATCCTCAAAATATATATTAATCATATAATTTTTATTGAACAAAAACCATTCCAGTGAAAATATGATGCTTAATATTTTTGTCTAAAAAAAAATCACTAATTTTTTAAGAGTGTACATTTGGTTATAGCACAAGTTTTCATGACCTAAATCAAACATGCGAAGAGGATTGTATATGGTTTTCTCTTTGGACCCATCACTGTTTCTATTCTCTTTGAATTGTTGGGCCCATTTGGGCTTAGTCTTTTAGTGGCCTTGTTTGATAGAGAATTGATCTGGGCTCATTTCGTAACCAGAAGAGCCCATATTTGTTACGAATTTTTCATTTTTTGTTTACATCGAACAGTGACCATCACGATTATCGACTATGGAGTATGCAAAAGGGGAAAATAATATATTAAGCGTTTGCTAATGTAATTTTAAATTTTATTGATTTTGATTAAAATTTAATGATGATGGTTAAGAAACCATCGTCAATAATTACAATAAAAGTTAGCTGGAAGTAAAACAAAGGAAAATAAAAAATAAAAAATATTTTGAACTTTAAAAAATCTCTATATACAGGAAGAGTTATTGTTTAATGTTTCTCGCGAAAGATAATGATGTTTATTGACAATTGATTTTCCTTCTATTTGCTAATTTTGAAGTTTATCACTTTTAAATGAAAAAATTATCAGTTCCAGTGGTTAATCATCTTTCAACTCTTTCAACTTCTCTGTACTAGACCAAACAGTTCAAGGTAGAGGTTGTTTTCGATTTCACAGAAGGCAGAACTGGAGGTGTTACTTTGGTTAATGAACGACGAATTCCTCTTTCTGTTCTTTGATCATGTTCCTCATTTCCTGCCTCAAAGTTGATTTTGATAATTTCTCACAACCACTCAAACATAATGACAAAGTCACACATACATATAATAATCACTGTTCCTGAAAAGAAAAAACATATATATGATATCATATATGGGTCCATATAGTAAAGGGTTGCAGCAGCACCAAGAAAAAATGATCCTTAAGATTTCAGCTGCATGCTTCAACATGTAGAATTGTGGTGATCCTTAAGTTTGCAGTTATATCACAGTGCATGGAGTGAGGTGCAGATCCATGAGTAGTGTCAATAATTCATCTTTGATGCTTAAGGGTCCCTCAAACTCAGATGAAATTGAATGCAAGTTGGAATGCATTAAAACCATGCAGGCTTTTTGCAGTATCCACTACATGATAGTGTGCTAGCTAGATGACAATCTTGAATCCTTTCCTTACATGAAGGTTGATAAGACTCTCCTGAGAGAAAAAGGTGCATGAATAGGGTTCCATTGAGCACAAACAAGACCTGGCTCATCAGTTAGTGCTGTGCTTGGAATATTATTTTGCTTTGAAAATTTTTTAGTATAACTTTCATTCTTCCCTACGCCACATGATGAAATTGGAAGACCATGGCCAACAACTGTCATGAAATGATAATTTCAGAATAGAATCAATGAAGACGTTTGTATCACTTCCAACATATTAATTATAACTGATATGATTGTGCCAACATATATGCTTAAATTTTGAAACTCTTAGTCTATCTTATATATGATTGCATACATATCAAAGTTCTTAGGCATCATAACTATGATGAATGGTCCTTACCACTGCAATTAATTGCCAAAGCACGAGTGATCTTAATTGATAATTTCCTTTTTGAAGTAACCATGTCGAAGTTCTTTTTACCTCTTATATCTCAAAACCAATGAATAACCACAAAATTCACGGACGAGAATGGTACAAGATTGTTTTTTCTTCTGTTCTTGACTGAGAGAGAATCTTGTACAAGAAACTGAAATATGGTGATAAAAAGTATGTGTCACATAAAATTTGGTGTATCTTATTATTATTATTATTATTATTATTATTATTATTAGTCGTTGATTTATATTTTTTATTACCTCCTGTGATTAATATTTAGATGGGGTCAAGGAAGTGATGCTTTAAAGATTCAGGCTGTCTCCTACCCTCCACAAAGTCTCTACTGCGATTATGACATCTATTTCCACATGTTCTACTTACACATTTTTTAAGTCCTTGTTTGGAAGATAGTTTTTTTTACCCTTTTTCCACTTTGTCTCATTTGTTACTTTGTATTTAGGTCCCTCTCTGTTGCTGTATTTTTGGCTCATTCTTACTTTCAAAATAAAAACAAAAATCATCCAGCTGTGTACAATAGGGAAGAAGGTGATGTTAGAGATCTCAAGAAAACAGTTTTAATCTTATAAGTTTCTTTTTTGCAATTAATTAAGTTTGCTTTATTTTACATTTAGATGTTTAGTCTTTATTCTTGTGCGTCTCATAGAGATAGATTCGAACATGGCCTAAGTAGAAAATAAGCGTTGGCCATTGGCACTATGAAAAATGAAAGGTGCCTCATCATGATTCTCCAGGACTTCATTAAAACCTATTTATTCCATGCACCACTGGATGTGATGTTTGAGTATTCAGGAAAATATATGATTTTAAGTTTATCTCTATTCACAGTTTTTATCCAACGTGAAAAATAGAAAGAATATAAAATTATTAGAAATTAATGGTGATCTTCAACATTGCATAAGGTGATCTTCAATTTTAAAAAATATATAAATTGTATAAAAAAGGATTGTTGAAATCATTTGTGAGGGTTGGTTAACTGTAGCAAAAAGTGCAAGGCAGGTTGGACCCACAAATTGGGATTTTGGCAAACAGAAACCATGAAAAATAGGATAGAAGTGATAGTAATAGGAAGAGAAAACAAAACAAAAGTTTATAATAAATAAGAAGCATGTTGAAGAAGAAAGTGGAATGTAGTGGAGTGGCCATCATAATTTTGGTTTCAAATGCAATATTTCAATGTTCTTGCCACTACTGTTCTTGGTCCACCAACAACCACTATGAAACTCAAGAAATTTCACACCTTTCGATTCTCTGGTTTTGCATTTTCGTGATTCTAAGTAAACGGGTATATTTGTTTAAGGGTTTAGAAACCAAACCATGGCTTCAAAACATAAACATGTTGTTGTCAAAGATACTAAAAAGCATGAAAGTACAAAGAGTCACTTCCTTTTCATCTCAGAAAAAAAGAATCCTCCAACTCTTTTCTCGTCCTCTCTACTTTTCTCCTTCATTTTTACTTACTCAAGCATTTCTCAGAACTCAGAATTAATCATTTTTTATAATAGAATTTAATCAAAGCTACGTATAAACCAAGAATTTTTCCACCTTTTCTTTAACGACGTTTTATTTGCCTTTATGATTAATAATTTTCTGAGCCACATGGAGATTTGGCTTTTTGAAAGACACTGTTCGTCCCATCATTTTCCTGCCATTCCTTGCTTTCCTTTTTCAAGCCTCGGTTGTCTTTCACCCAAACGCTGCCTCCAGCGCATCTAAACTTTTGGCGTTGTTAATTTTATGATACTATAACACTAACTAAGTAGTTACAATTAAATAACTTATCCAAAACTAAAGTGTAAACAGAATAATTTCTTAGAAAAATCATTAGTGACAATGAAATTCATTTCCCAAAAAGAATAATGAAACGGGTAAAGTATGGCAGAGACTTTCTGGGCTATGTCGGAGTGGTCTCCCACAAAAAGATTCACACGAATTATAGAAAACTGAAAAAGCACATTCTTCAGAGGAATTTGTTTTTCTTACAAAATTAAAATTAATTTGAAGAATAAAGCAAACAGGTACACACAGTTCCATATTCTGTTTTGTATAGTGAATGTAATCACAATCTCTCGTTCTCCCTGGTCCTCCAATTTTCTCTTTTTCTTTTTTTTTGTTACACCACATACAATTCCATTCCTATCAGTTTATACAGAATAATGCATAGAGTTTTATAGTATCAGTTTAAATAGAAAGTCTCAGAAAATCTTTGTTTCCACTGTTAAATTCTGATTATTCAGTCTCAGTTTCTGTTTCCATCTCCCTTACTCTCTCTTTCTATTAATTCTTTTCCATATTTGAGAATAAGTGATACTGTAGTAGTTGTTTGAGCTCAAGTTTCATGTCTGTACCATTGGAGCAAGGCTATGTAGGCTTAGCACAGGTTCCTGCAATGGAAGGTTCAGACAAGTTTTCTCAGAGGACTAGTGGTGGCTTGAACCTCAAGGCTACTGAGCTGAGACTTGGTTTACCAGGTTCTGAGTCACCGGAGAGAAATGAGGGTGTGGAGAGCAAGAATGTGCACGCTTTAGGTATGGTCAAGAGTTTGGTGTCAGGGGCCAAGAGGGGTTTCTCAGACACCATTGATGGGCGTTCCGGGAAGTGGCTTCTCTCTGTGAATGGTGGATCTGAGGTGGGTTTGGGCAAAGATGGTGGCTTGTTCTCTCCAAGGGGTGTTGGTGCTAGTGCTTGCAAGGCTGAGTGTACCAACCAGCAAACATCTGTTGTGAAAGATAAAGTTCCTGTGTCTCCAAAGTCATTGAATGAGAAGAAACCTCAGATCTCTGCTCCTGTTGCAAAGTAGCACCATCTTCCTTTAGCATCGTCAAATATAATATATATACTTGTATTTAATTGTTTTCTTTGTCAAAATATTTGTTCACCTTTTGCTGTTGATGTGTTATCCTGTTTATAGTTTTCTCACGTTTGTTTGTATGTGTATATTAAAAAAATGTTGGAAGCAAGAAGAAAATGGGGTAATTCAAAGTCAGGAAATGGTTTTTCTTTTTACTTTGAGAAAATTATTTGGTTGAATTTTAAATTTAAAAGAAGGGAGAATAAAGTCTATCGAGTCTTTTGAGTTCTTTAACTCTTGGTGCTAGTTATGTTATTATGTTACTCTCTAGTGCTGTAGAAGCTGTTACTCTTTTCTATGTAGTTTAGGGAGTATTCCTTCTATGTTAATCATGATCTAGGTTATTTTAGTTTTTCTGTAAATTTTCTTCTTCATCTTGGTTATCAATTGTTTGCTTTTGTGTATGACTTTGGACTGAACTCCTCGGTTATACAGTGTCTTATGACTAAAAGTTCAATATATTCATGGTGAAACTTTATTATTTCTCTCTGCCTGTTTTTGTGTTCTTATCTATTATGTATTTCTTAGACAGCTTCCTTTTGTTTGAAGTTATGATCTTTGCTATCTGCGCAAATGGTTATCTCAATTTGGATTTCTTTCCTTGTGCACCCCCATTAATATAGTGCAATTTTGTGTTTTTTGAATCAGGGAGCAGGTTGTGGGATGGCCACCAATCCGATCTTTCAGGAAGAATTCAATGGCCTCACAGCCTCAAAAGAATGATGATGATGCAGAAGCCAAACCTGGATGCCTTTATGTGAAAGTTAGCATGGATGGTGCTCCATATTTGAGGAAAGTGGATCTCAAAAACTTTGGCACTTACATGGAACTGTCTTCAGCACTGGAAAAGATGTTTAGTTGTTTTACAATCAGTGAGTTCTTTACTAGCAAATTGCAATCAAAATTGTTGTTACCCTCTTACTATACAATTATGCATAGCTTTCAAATTTCAATATTCTTTGGTCAATTATTCCCTTAAATTTGATTTTGATGGGAGAAATATAAAGAATTTATCCTCATCAGAACTGGCACCCTTTTAGATCTATGCGGATGATTAAATCAGGATCCTAAGTCTTCCAATGTCACAGGCTCAGGCTGGTTGGTTCCATGAGCTGGGGAATATTTACGGGAGTGCTATCAATAGGTCAAATAATTCTTTACCAATAGAATGTTCTTTTTGTTTCAGATTCTGATAATGTTTTCACCAATGACAAGTGCAGGTCAATGTGGTTCCCATGGAGTTTCTGGTCGAGATAAGTTGAGTGAAAGTAGATTGATGGACCTCCTTCATGGTTCAGAATATGTTCTCACCTATGAAGACAAGGATGGTGATTGGATGCTAGTTGGTGATGTTCCATGGGAGTGAGTGCATATTATGTCTCAGTGTTCTGCATTACATTTCTATTTTTGGTGTTTAGTCAGTTAAACAAATATTACTCTGTTCAGTAAATATTTTGTTAAACTCAACATGAGAAATGATCTTGTTATGTCTAGGATGTTCACTGACTCATGCAAGAGATTGAGGATAATGAAGAGTTCTGAAGCAATTGGACTAGGTGAGGCTGACACAAACAACTATGTGCTTTCTTTTATATCTTGTCATAGCATTGAAAAACTCATCAGTAATCTTATAGTCAAATTGCAAGACAGAACACTAGATTGGTATTTCTCAATTGCATAATGCTATATAATGATATCAACAACACTGAAAAGAACCAATAAGTGTGAGAAGCCACTGAATTTCATGTCAGTTTGCACAAATCAGAACGAGGGAGGCGTTTTGATGTGTAAATTATTGTTGAACTATCATGGAATTGATGGATTCTAGCAGAAAATCTTGAACTCCATCATATCATCTTACCATGTTTTCTTAAAATGGTGGAAATGTCTCATCATCTTATACTTTAAGACATTTCAGCATTCTCTTTTATTCTAAAATAAATCATTAAACAAAGTGTGTAGTTTCTTACTTACCTAAGTTTGATTCCTGCAGCACCAAGAGCCATGGAAAAATGCAAAACTCGGAACTAGGAATATGCTATTGATACAGAAAAGATGGAGTGTCATTTACCTTTAAACACATCATACAAGAGTCCAAAGGCAAGTGCAGGGCACAAGCTGGGGCTTATCTTGCTTGAATATGTAAAATCCTACATATGGATCCAAGTATCCTAGACTTTTTAGTAGACAATATATGTTTGTTATAGACATTTAAGATTCTCACTTCTCTTCAATCACTGTCACTGTGGACTTCATAAGAAGCTGCCTTACTATGTAAATTTTGTAACTCGGGTCTCTAAAAATTATTAATATTGGTGAGCATTTTTACTTTCATGTCATGCATGAAAGAGAATTTCGTTGTGTTCCGGACTCGCTATGTATCTCAGTGAATACGTAGCTTGTTTGATGGATGTAACAAAAAATTTTAGGCTTTCATTCATCAAACTATGACAGTGCTCAAAGAAAACAGTGATGAGAAAAAGGGAAATGAGTCCAAGGTGAACTTCACCTTAATAAATTTTCATCTTATATATGGCTTATAAGTTTAGTAAATATTCTTTTATAACATTATTGATTTTTTTTCCATCGATTTTTTGAAATATGACAGAATAATTTGCAACGGATTCTTCCGTCTCATCCATTATGAATTTTATTACATATGCGATGGAATTTTTAGAAACTGAACTTTTCCATTACAGAATTTATCACATAATAATTTAAAGTCTTATTCTAGCATTGAATAGATGGGCAGATAAGAATATTTTGTAATAAAAATTACATTATTAGGAATATAAACTGAAACATCTTCTGATTCAGTTTCAACATTAGTAGAACAGTTCCTTCGTCTAATTAAGAATTTAATTTAACGGTTCTTTCCAAAAGACGGGAATGTAAATAAAACATATTCCCTGAATAAACTTCGTGACTAGGTAGTCTTTGTAATAGAAGAGACATTTGACGATAAGTCTGTACTTGTTTAGAGAGATTGTCATAAATGATTAAAATGTGACATTCACGGTACATAAAATATTCAACCAGAACTGCTCCTGTATAAGGCACTAGGTTGTAATGTAGCTGGAGAATCTGTTCTTTCAGCGAGTATTCCATTAATATGTTTCTTATAAGGTAGTCACCACTTAAACTACAGAAGATACTTTTTGAACAACAGCTACATAAACACATAAAGTATCCATTAAAGGATTTGTCACTAATTATTCCATTACAAAGTTTTGTCATTAATTTTAATTTTTCTAACATTAAAGCACAAGTTGAGAATAATATATTAAAAGCTTATTATAATATGTAATATTATATTAAAAGATTTGTAGTCCTAGTATTTTTCACTTATTAATATGTACCTTATCATTATTTTACTTTTGATTTGATTATATTACGTTAACTAGTAATCACAATAAATTACTTCTTTATAGATTTGTTATTAAAAATTAAACTATGGCTCTCTAAAATAATAAATTAGTCAATAATATAATTAGAGACTAATTTAGTAATAAGTAGCTAAAACCTCATAGATAAATTAAATTCGGATTCAAAAATCAATTTAATTAAAATAAATTTTAACTTAATCAATATAATACTAAACATTTTTTTATTTTGTCATATCTAATAAATTTATTGTAATGTTATGTATAAAAACATGATCAAATTCCTTCCAATCGGTCCTAAAAGCTTGATGGAAATACATTTTTTTTAGTAATGAAATTTATTAAATAAAAGTTGAGATTTATAAAGTTTAATAAATTTGAATCAACAGTATATATGTTGAAAAAAAAAAATGTGTACTAAAGATTCTTGCCAGGATTTCTCTAAATAATAAAACCTCATAATTTTTCCACGCCACTTGTTTCCATTAATTTACCTTCTTATTCTTCAATTAGATGATGATGAGTGATTAGAGTGAGATGAGGCTAAGAAGTTGCAGTGGTGGCAATGATGAAGTGTGGTGACACAAAAGGAATGACGATTGTGAGTGATTCATGTTTCAGAATATTCAATCATGGCAGACAAGATTATGCAGGCCAAATTACCACTATCCACTATTTGGAATTGTCGGGAAAGATACCAATAATTATAACAAACGGAATTACAAATTCAAATAAAAGACTTCAAAAATATAAAGTAAGACATGACACTGTGCACTAAAATATAATATAAAAAAAATGACATCAAATTTTAATATGAAATTTTTTTTAATACGAAGAAAAAATCAACGAAACCTAATCTGATAAATTTTTTTATTAATAATAATTAATGGATATAATAAAAATTCTCTTCAAATCACTAAGAATTAACATAATATTTTCTCTTCATTAATAAGAATATAATAAAACAATAAAGAATCAATTACAAAATAATTAAAATAATATAATTTTCTGTCCGAGTTAATGCACGAACTTATTATAAATAATATGTTCTTCTATCATCAGTTGTTGACTTGTTTTTATATCTCACCAGACACTTTCTATTTTATTCTCTAGTTTTTTTTTCTCTCTGTTTTAAAAATAGAACTCAAATATAAATAAATCTCACCAGACACTTTCTATTTTATTCTCTAGTTTTTTTTTCTCTCTGTTTTAAAAATAGAACTCAAATCTAAATAAAGATAATCCTATAATGGATCACTAACTTATAAAAAATATATTATTTTTTTTAATTTAATTAATATGGACCCAATAAATGAGTGACCCACCTCACATGTAAAAATTATGATAAAACAAGATTATTAATACATTTTTTATGTGCTTAAAATATTTTATAATATTACACCATATTTCATAATCATTATATTTGATGACAAATTTTATTCAAGATGTATAATAAAATCTTATATTAATTTGATGAAAAAATATTTTCAAATTAAGAGGATATGGTGAAAAAAAACTATCAGAAGGTGTGAAGTGTGATAAAAATCCTCATAAGGAGGTATGATAACATCTTATGTCATGTGATAATATTATAATATATAAATAAGTATAATTTAATTAATTTTGTAGAATTAAATTAAATATCTCATAATTTCTAATATAATATATAATATAACATTATCATTATATATATATATATATATAAAATTTAAGAAAAGGAAAAAAAATACAGTGAATCTTGAAATTTAAAAAGGAAAGTAATTATTTCATAAATATAAATTTAAAAATAATATAACTAATGACTTGATAAAGTAATTTTACCTATCAAAGAAGGAAACTTAAATTTGTTGTCTAATGTCATTTAATAATAATAATAATAATAATAATAATATAATAATAATAATAATAGTCCTCTTTTACAATTCATATATTGAAAAATAAACTTAAAGGAGAAGCAAGAAGTATAGTATAGGTTACACACAAACACTAGTTGACGTGTAGGGTTATTCATGATACATGCAAGTATAAATTAGAGTACACAAACTACACCTCCTACACATATCTTCTTCCACCAACATTGTTGCAACTGGTGTCGGCCAAACTACGAGGATATATCATATTAAAAACATTTCTCATAGAAATTACCATTACCATCTCCCCCAAACTTGCCACCATTTGAAATCACTCTACCATTTTTCTCGTTGCCACCAAGAGATGATGCTCCTTTGGGAGTACCATCGGAGTCTTCGCTCTCAGACTGCCACAAGCTCCACTCCACAGCTTCGGACTTTTAGACCATTGAGGACTCATGCCATTAGAGATACATCAACCCTTAATAAAATATTTACTTTTATTTTTAAATAATTCTTAGTAATATTTTTTATTAAAGATATTATATAATCTCAAAATTTTATAATTCTTATATAATTTATAGATTTAATTTTTAAACTTTAATATATTTATTTATATATTTACAATTTTATTCTTTTAATCTTTTTTTAAATTTTTTAATTTTTATATAATTTTTTATTTTACCTCCTCAAACTTAATAATCATTTTATATTTATTTATATATTTATAATTTTATCTTTTTTCTTTTCATTTTTTTATTTTATTTGTATATTTATTTATTATTTTTTAATAATATATTAGTAGGACCAATGATCAAGTGCCACGGTACCAGTATCCGTTTCTACTGATTTCATCGAACATGTAGAATAATGCAGAAGCAGGGTGTTGCTCAGGGCCATCCACCATTATAATCAAATTGCCAGCGATTGATCGAATCTTTGCGACCATAGAAAGGCCAAAATCTGGTTTTATTTTAGGGTAATCATTAATGCCTGCAGTAGTAGCATGGTGCTACGTCAGAGTCAATGCATAGGGTAGTTGATGGCCATTCTTTCTTTTCCTTTGGAGGACAATAAGACTCCCTTTGTGTCCCTCACCGTAAGAATACATGTCCATTTCAGTGACGCTGCCATATTTGTTAACCTTCTTGTTTTGATTGAGCACTGATGCTGTCTGAGCGCCACAGACGGCGAACCAGCGGGGATATACCAGAACATCTTCTCCATTTATTGATTGTACGGTTGGAAAATTAATAATAATAATAATAATCTTAATTTTGATTCTAAGGATCAAACATAAACGTAAAACATGCGGTAAACTGAATACGAAAGCGTACTTGAATTAGCAATAATGATGATGTCTTTGTAGAACATTCTATTGATTTTATGGTCTTCCACTTGAAGAGCACCTGTATTTCCCTCTTGATTTTCTCTCTTGATGGGGATAGAAAGAAAGGAACGAGACTGATACTTACGTTCTGTGTGTGTTTCCAGAAGGGGACCACGACCCCTTAAAATAATCAGAATTAGGTTAATTACTTAAGTTTTAGTATTTTCAATTTGACTCCTCATCAAATTAGAAATTGCTCAATGGTCTTTACACAATTTTATTTTCATGACATATGTCTTTAGCAAAAACTTTAATTTAGTCAAATCACTTTATTATTTGGCTTAATAAATAATGACCCTAACACATTTAAATTATGTATCATATATATACATGACCCAAATTTTGCCAACAATCTCCCACTGGTCACAAATATATATGTCCTTACAACCTTATAAATGTGTTAGACTTTATGAGCTCAAAATTGTCATTATATTTCTTTAGCATACTCCAAAAGTCCTGTCCATTAATCATATCAGGATATAGAACTAAACCAGTTTTTCATTGCATCATCGTAACTAAAACCAACAATGATTACTCATCCTAACATAACCAAATGACATGGATTCATCATGAAATGTGTAGCATGAAAAATTACGTGAAGGTGATCTGTACACGTCTATTTTCAACTGGTCCAAACTTTAACTTATCGAGATCGATATAATATCCTTAATGTACAAAGTGTAATGAATAAACGGAAAAACCGCATATCTATAGATAACCAAATATGCCCAAAAATCAATGTATACATATATGAAATTAAACATAGAACATAAAATATATGAAAGTGACTAACTCCCACTAAACCACAAATTCCTCAAACTGTAAAACACCCATGTGAGCAACATGCTCATGAAAGACCTTGGGCGGAAGTCCTTTAGTTAGAGGATATGTTATCATGGAGTTTGTCCTTAAGTGTTCTATGAAAATCTGTCCACTTTGTACTCTTTCCTTAACAATACAGCTGATTTATTGTCACAATATAACTTAAGTGGTATTTCAATGCCTTTACAGCCCTGTGATAAAATTTCTCAGCCATATTCCATGATTTGATGCCTCATAGCATATTACAAATTCTTGACATCCTACAAAATCTGAGTCAGAAAACCCAGCGATCTCCAACTAGTCTGACCTCCTATATGTGAGCATATAATCTTTTATTCTCTTTAAATATCTTATGACTCTTTTTGCTACTTTTCAATGGTTTATTCCTGGATTGCTTAAATATCTGCCTAGAACCCCAACTATATATGCTATGTCTGGATGCGTACATACTTGGGCATAGATTAAACTCTCTACAACTGATGCATATGGAATCTTTTGTATTTCCTTAATTTTCAAATTCTCCTTTGGGCACTGATTGAGACTAAACTTGTCTCCCTTTAAACTTGTGATACACACAATTATCAACAATATTCATCTTGAAGCCAAATGAGTATCATACCTTCTAGTAATGGGACAAGTTCCCAAACCTTATTGTCTTGCATGGACTTATACTTCTCCTATTGCTTCAATCCACTCTTGAGAGTTAGAACCTTGTATAGCTTGACGGAAGTTAACTGGGTCATCTTATATCATTATTTTCCTCATGTTCCTGAAGAAATACCATGTAATCATCCGAAATAACACTTCTTCTTTCTCTAGTGGATCTCTGCAAAGTTATTAGTTCATGATGCACAGGTTCTTGAGGATCTTGAGTTTGTTCTTCATGAACAATCAAATCATCTTGAGTAAGGGTTCATTAACAATGTCTTGTGGAGGTTCCGAACTTACTTTATCAAAAGTAACTATTTGAATCGGTTCTGAAATTGTTACCGATTCTTCCTCCAAGATGAAGTTTTTAATCTTATTCTTCCCCCAAACTCAATATCCTCAAAGAACGTAGCAGTTCCCGTCTCAAAAATTATCTTTAATGTGAGATCATAAAATTTAGATCCCCTGGATCTTTCAGCATAACCAATAAAATAACCACTTACTGTTTAGGAGTCCAATTTCTTTTCATTTGGCTTATAAGACCTTGCCTCAGCAAGACAACCCCACACATGAAAATGTTTCAGACTAGGTTGTCGCCCAATCCAAAGCTCATAAGGTGTTTTGGCAGCTGCTTTAGTTGGTACTCTGTTTAGAATATAAGCTGTCGTATTTAATGTCTCTCCCCAAAGTGATTCCAGTAAGGTGGAATGACAAATCATACTCTCTACCATATCTTTAAGAGTGTAACACAAGCCCAAACATCACGATTTGATTGTGAACTGAGCACTTGTGCCATAATACACCTGAATGAGTATTTTCAATTTTACGTTTAGTACCACATGATTCTGTATTAAGGGTTTCATTATAGGTGGCCACAATATCAAGTAAATACTGATTATCATAAATCAAAAGTGAACAAGTTCCAACAATATCTGAATTAAAAGACAAACTGAACTTATTGTTTCCAAATGAACACAAATAACCTAATTTGTCCAAATAAGAAACTGAAACCAAATTCCGTCTAAATGACGGCACAACAAAAGTGTCTTTCAAATCCAAATAAAAAATCAGTACTTAGTAACAATTTAAAATGCCCCATAGCTTTCACCTCTACCGATTTGCCATCTCCAACATAAATCTATCTTTCAGAATCAATTGGCTTCCAGTAGTTTAGACAACCCTTTCTTTTCACGCCAAACATGATATTTAGCATATTTCTTCTTTACGCGTCCAGTCTTATTGCAAAAGAAACATTTGTTTTCTTGAGTTTGTTTCTTTTGTTCTGGACCCTTAGCAGCTTCTTTCTCGAGATCCTCTGATCTCTTTCTTTTGCCCTTAACCTTGGAGATGCTTGCAAAATGAGCACTTTCTATCTTGTCTTGCTTTACTCTTTCCTCTTCTTTATGCAATGTGAAATGAGCTCATTAAGAGATCATTTATCCTTCTAACAGTTGTAAGATACCTTAAATTGATTAAACGTTGCTGGAAGAGAAATCAACACCAAATGAATGAGTAAGTCTTCTGATAGTTCAAGCTTTACTGCCTTGAGTTTAAAAACAATATTAGACATGCTCATAATGTACTCCTTGATATTTCCTTTGCCCTGATATTTCATGGAGATCAAGTTCTGAAGAAGAGTGCTTGTCTCCGCCTTATCGCTTTTTGCAAAGCGTTGTTCAATTTCAGCAAGAAATTCTTTGGCACTTGTGATGTTTTCAGAAACAGTGCCCCTAAACACCTCCGGGATGTCGCGCTTAATGATCATTAGACTCATGTGATTTGAGCGATCCCACTTCTCATAATCTCTTTTCTGTTCAGAGGTACTTGAATCTGTAGGAGTAGGGGTTTGCTCAGTCCTTAACGCAAGATCCATATCCATGCAACCAAGAATAATATCAATGTTGTCTTTCCAGTCCTTAAAATTTGTTCCATTGAGGACCGAAACAAAGTTTAAATTGGCAGATACAGAAGCAATTGTAGCTGAATTTAGAACACGAGAAATAAACTAATTATGCTCACATTATATAAAAAATAAATAATATATATTCAAATAGCGGTTTAACCCATCTCAAGATACCCAATGCACCATCAATATCAAGTCTTTGGACAGTAATATTAACTGCTAGAAGTATCTTATTGTAATAATCAAACATTGACAATAAAACATATTCAACAACAAACCAGTCTTTGGATTGATTTATCATCGACAAAGCAAATCCTTATAATTATCACATATTTATCATTACAAGTGTGTATGCAATTCGGTCAAATATTAATCTTCCTTTGGGCCGACTAATACTCGCATGAATATACACAAACACAAACATTCAATATTTTTCATGAACTGCCCAATTCAAGAGAGTTTACTTTGGTGACTTCTTGACTCAATTTGCTCACAAAAAATATTAAACTATCAAAAAATTGAATATTTTATTTATATAACAAAACCAAATATTTAATATTTGCAAACTAATTCAAAAGAGAATCACCTCATTAGAATTCTACTAAGGATGAACACCTCCCTAAAATCTCATTAGGGATGAACACCTCATTTGAATAAATCAATGGATGAAAAAAGACCTCATTTTCCACCAATACATAAAGGATGAACATCTCTCTAAAATCACACTAGGGATGAAACGAGAGATAGTTCTGAGTCTCTTTAGCATACTGCTCTAGACCTTAAAAGGGAATTAAACAGTAATCACTCAAACCCTAATTTAACATCAAATTTTCCTTAAATTCCTAGAGGATAGAGACAATAAAATAATAACAGCCACACACGTGGAAACATTCACCAGTTGCTTAAGATCCTCTATGTTGGGAATTCCCTAAACACCACCCCCAATTCCAAACTCATCCATATCCACCATGAAAAGAAAACGAAAACAAAACCCATAAAATTAAATAAAAACAAAAACAAAATATTAAAAGAGAACAAAGAACCCAATACAAGAAAGATTGAAATTTGAAACACTATTTCTTTCTCAGTAAAACTTGAAACTTAAACTGAAATAAAAGGGAAAAACGAAGAAGAATAAGAATCCATAACTTCCTCCACGGTTCCATCAGCAAGCAGAATCAGATTGGGGATGTTATCCCCAAATTTAAATTTTAGGGTTCACGAAAATTAGAGATTATTCTCCACTTAGAGTTCATAAAATTGGGTAATTTGAATTGTTTAAAACAAAATTAATCCTAATTTTCATAATTAGGGTTCTATAAATTAAATAGACATGAATCAAATATGGACGACTTCGATACCAATTGTTGGAAAATTAATAATAATAATAATAATCTTAATTTTGATTCTAACGATCAAACATAAATGTAATCTCATACTTGATAAACATGCTGTAAACTGAATGTGAAAGCGTACTCGAATTAGCAATAATGATGATGTCTTTGTAGAACACTGTATTGATCTTATGGTCTTCCATCTGAAGAGCACCTGTATTTCCCTCTTGATTTTCTCTCTTGATGGGGATAGAAAGAAAGGAACGAGACTGATACTTACGTTTTGTGTGTGTGCTCCCAGAAGGGGACCACGACCCCTTAAAATAACCAGAATTAGGTTAATTACTTCAGTTTTAGTATTTCTAATTTGACCCCTCATTAAATTAGAAATTGCTCAATGGTTTCTACACAATTTTATTTTCATGACATATGCCTTTAGCCAAAACTTTAATTTAGTCAGATCATTTTATTATTTGGCTTAATAAATAATTATCCTAACCCATTTAAATTATGTATCATATATATACATTACCCAAATTTTGACAACATTAACGTCTAAATAGAAATTGAACTCTGAAAGATTTCCCCAACCATTTGGGTGTCTGGCTGCAGAATTGTAAGAGTAAACCCTTGGCCTCACCACAAACGTTGGCAATTATTGTCAGTTCGAGTGAACATGCGGAAACACCTATTTGGTATAAGATATTCCACTTCTCCAAGAATCCTCCATCTGGTTGCATCATAATCTGTTTTTGTGACAAACCAATGAAAGCATGTTTTCCCAGCTGAACATGGTAAGGGTCATCCCCGGCCCCACCATTGCCAAGAAGACCACCACTGCATATAATGTTACCCATCACAAACAAGTAGCAATCTAAATAAGTGGCACGTACCTGAAAACTTGGAATGGGGTACCCTTTGGAGATAACAGTTTATACTTGAAGGTACTTACTTAAATATATATGTGGTAATTCCCTAAAACAAAGTTTAAGGATGCTGTGTCATTAGGAATTCATAACCAGCTAGCTCTTCTTAGCTCTGCATGTTCAGGGTGTTCAAGAGGGGGGATTTATCAGCATATTTGGGTCTTGGTCCACAAACAAAATGCGTAGAATCTTGCACACTACATCGGCAAGGGAAGCGTATTCTTCCGCGGATGATTTAATTTGCTAAGCATCCAATTCTCTACCCTATTCTCTACCACACTTTTATCTTTGTCTTCTTCATTTGTTTTGGTGCTCCTCTTTTTGTTTCATCTTTTCACTCGGTTATCATATGCATCATTCCATATACATTACGTGTTTCACTGACTAACTTCTTTTGAAAACCTAGTTAATCACCCTTAAAATGAGGTTTTTGAATCCGCTTAGTATGCATATTTAGTGCTAAAATCACGCTAAGTTGTCTAAAAAACATGGAGGCTATGACTAGTTACTTCCATTTTAACTCAGTTTTAAGTTGAGAACGCAACACCAAACACGCTTCAATAATATAACGGTGGTAATGTATGTTTTGTTTGTTCCTATAACAATTATATCGAGTTTTAAATCCAGTTTCCTAAATGACTAAATTATAGCAAATAATGATAAATGTTTAATTTCTAGAACAGAAGAAAATTTCACTAATACAAAATGAGTCAACATACAATTGTGTTTCAGAAGGAGAGATGTAATTTTAATTTGATATAATTAATAACATAATTAATATATAAATTTTATTTTATAAATTAATTTTGTAAGATTAAAATATATATATATATATATATAATATAACATTAAAGTTTATTATAATAAGATTTGTTTACTTATCACAAAAAGTTATCATAAGGATACTTAACGAGTAAACCTTGAATAAGTTTTTTTTTAAAAAGATTAGAAATCTAATCAATTAAAAGTTTTAATAAAAGTGAATCAGTAAATAAGTTTTTCGGAACATTTTAAAAAGACCAAACATGTCTTAAAATGATGTAGGGAAGATTACTACTAAAACCGAGATATAAAAGTTGTTTTTGGTAAGTCATAGACTAGGTCTTTTCTAGCATATTTGGGGATTTCAAGTGGGAAAATTATAAAAACAATTTTGCACTCTGACTGAAGGGGAAGCATTATTCTTGGGTAGATTATTTCATCACGTAGCATCTGGTTCTCTTTTATATTTTCCAAACTACTTTTATCTAATGTCTTTTACCATTTGATTTTTTATTCTTCCACTTATCTTTGATTCTTCAATTCTAGCTTTTATATCTTCTGGGGATGTTTATTTTCTTTTACAACATAAAAACTTATGATGAAGTTTTGAAAACATTTTCTGATATATTACTTTAACTTTTTGTGTGAAAAACATGAAATATGTATAACTGATAGAAAAAGTATACAAAACATAATGAACACAAACAAATTAAAGAATTTTTCTTGTACATTAATTTATTTTTTTATTAAGGAATTTCTTGTAATTTATATAACTATATTCTTTTAGTTTTATACGTTATTTAATCACCACAAATATTAGAAATAAAGAGGATCTACATATAAATTTTTATATTCTTGTAGGTTCTATATTATTATTTACTTGATTCTTAAATTTTTGTAAGTGAATCTTCCACTTCCTCATATTTCATCATTTTTAAATTCACTCTTCACTGTTACATACAACGCGACCATTACAAAAATATATGATGGTTAATCGCTACCTTGTTGGTGCTTCCTCAAACAATGAAATGTTAGAAGAAGACTTCGCTGTAAATACACACTGAAATATGTTCTTGGGAAACACAACTTGAAGTACATGCACTAGTTAGGTTACGAAGATTACGAGGATCTTCATAAAATACAACTAGACATAAACTACTAAAAAAGCCAAAAAACAACAATAACAACGGCACCTAAATTTATTTTCTTCCTCCAAGATCTTCAGCCCTAACCAGATTTGCAGTCCATATACACTGCTACTATTTAATTTGGGAACATCAAGGTTAACCATTCCGTGTAAAAACATTCATAGTTCCAATATAACCACCGTTACCATTTCCATTGAACATTCCATCATTGTGGATCTCGTTTCTGCCTCCATGACTTGGTGGTAGGGAAGAACTATCACTGTCTTCTGCTTCAGACTGCCAAAACATGCTTCCACTCTCATTACGAGCACAGTGGGGGCACATAGTAGTCTTCCAAATCCCAGTTCTCTTGACTTCATCGAACATGTAAAATAATGCAGAAACAGGATGGTTCTGAAGTTCGTCCACCGTCATAACCAACTCGCCAAACGATGGTCGAAAATTTACCACTAAAGACAGGCCAATATCCGTTTGAGCTTTCTTAAAAGCTGTTCCACTACAATGAGTAAAATAGTGTGCCACTGTTACCTCACTGTATTCTTCATCCCCACACCAAATGTTTTTCTTCAACTCCAAAACAACCATACCCCCTTTGTTTCCACTCCCATATGAGTGAACTACCGTGCGTGTAATGCCACCCCTTTTATCAACGCTCTGGTTTGACTTGGTGGAAAAGGCAGATTTGGGCCATGGGTGTCTGAACAGCTGAATAAAATCAGTTCCTGTGATGCTTACCGAATAGTCCAACCATGTGTGGCCATCACGGAGGCTGAATATTACTGTGAAGACATTTCCATCTCTGTCAAAGTTTCTTGCTAAATTCACCTCACAAGTTGAGAAATCTACAGTGTATAAAACGCTCAATGTCTCGAGGTAGTTTTTCTTATCCACAATTCTGGACAAGTCGATGTAAGCAGATGGTCCAAGCGGTAAATGGGAGGGAAATGGAGGAAAGTTCCCACCAATACTGGGGGTACGAAAACTGTTTCCCATATTTGGATATAGATGCAGCACCGCAAGACACAACTCAACAATGGAATATGGGTCAGAAAAGTTGAGGGTGGAGATTTGAATGGAAGGTGTGTGTTATGAAGAAGGGTAAGGCAATATGAGGAATGCAGTGTATGTCGTCACTGAAAAATCATCAATGGGTAGCTAAACTTGGTCTTGTCTTCTCTGGTGAGGATGGTTGGGATGTTCACATGCTAAAATTATAAATACACGGATTACAGAATAATCTTTGGAAGATATATTCTTCCACAGATTAATTTAGTTATATAGAGCATATAATTCTCCATCATATTTTGAACCACTTTTCTCTGTCTAGTGCCATTGCTTTTTGGCCTAGTAATATTGAATCTTGATTCTTCTTCCACTTGTAGTAACTAATTAGATTAGATTCATTTAAGTGGATGGTAAATGATAATGAGATTCTTTCGTAAGGCTAGAAATCACAAATATCCAAAAAATCGATTTCTACATGTATCGCTTTAATAAGAAGATATCAGATACACAATGTGCCCCTTCTTCATTGACCATCATCCACTGAAAAAACCACCACTAACTAGTCTCTTTCATTTTCATCCTGTCCATTTCTTCTATTTGTGTTTGTTTTGGGTAAATAGTAAGGGACAGTTGATCACAAGACCCTATCTTTTCTACACTAAAAAAAAAAAAACGCTTATATCTACGGGTAAAATCCGTAGGTAATGTCACTTTACCTACGAGTTTCTTTTCGTAGAAAATCCGTAGGTAAATTATCTCACCTAAACAAAATATTTTTATTATTACCTAGGACCCCTTCGCTTTATATTATATTTTTATTATTTATTATAATTCGAAACTTTGAATTATTATTAGATTAAGGGAATTATCGGGATTTGAACCTAGTACCTCGAGTTGGAAGTCGATACTCCAACCACTAAGCTTATTAGGATATTTTGATAATAATTTACAAATAAATTATATTTATATTTATCCGTGTAAATATATAAATATAAAATATAAAATATAAAATATATAAATATAAAATATATAAATATAAAATATATAAATATAAAAAATATATAAATATAAAATATATAAATATAAAATATAAAATATAAAATATAAAATATATAAATATAAAATATATATAAATATAAAATATATATAAATATAAAATATATTTATATTTTTGATATATTTATATATTTGTATATTTGTATTTATATATTTATATTTATATATTTATATATTTATATTTATGTATTTATGTATTTATATATTTATGTATTTATATATTTATGTATTTATATATTTATGTATTTATGTATTTATATATTTATATATTTATGTATTTATGTATTTATGTATTTATATATTTATGTATTTATGTATTTATATATTTATATATTTATATATTTATGTATTTATGTATTTATATATTTATGTATTTATATATTTATGTATTTATATATTTATGTATTTATATATTTATATATTTATATATTTTATATTTTATATTTATATATTTTATATTTATATATTTATATATTTATATATTTTATATTTTATATTTATATATTTATATATTTTATATTTATATATTTATATATTTATATATTTATATATTTATATATTTATATATTTATATATTTATATATTTATATATTTACACGAATAAATATAAGTATAATTTAATTGTAAATATTAATATCCTAATAGTTTAGTGGTTGGAGTATCAGTTTTCAACTTTAAGGTACTGAGTTCGATTCTTGCTATAGTGACAATTTTTTTAGTTTAATATAATTACCTACGGATAATATCCGTAGGTAATGGATAATTACCTACGGATAGAATTCCGTAGGTAATGTACAATTTACCTACGGATTTTCATCCGTGGGTAATATCCGTAGGTAATGTAAAATTTACCTACGAATTTTTATCCGTAGGTAATATTTCGTAGGTAATAGGTTTTTTTTTTTTTTGTAGTGGTATGATTATTTCTTTTTATGTTTTTAGCAATCAAATATTTGATGTTTCGTACAAAACAGTTATTACCTTGTTTAGTTCTCTCGGAATTTTGAAAACACTCCAAAGTATATGCTTGAAACAAACATGCTACGAGTCATTTAAGAATCTGTTTTTTAAGCTCTATCTCACAAGTTTCGATATTGTGTTTAGTAAACAAATACCCACTATATAAGAAAGAATCCAATTATCAGTTGCAAATTATAGGCTAGTTTCCTGTACAGCTGTACTTAAGGCCAATTAAATGAATATAATCTGAGAAGTTATACTAAGTGGAAGAAGAATCAAGAATCATTAATGGGAGAAAAAACATGGCTCTATCTAGACAT